TGTAAATCAGCTATTAAATCGCTTATTTAATTATCATAACTACAGATGTGAAGGCGGTTGTTAACGTTTTCAACCAAGCCGATAACAACGGTTGTTTTTGTCTTGAAATTGATAAAAATTGTGCAGTTGCGTTTTGTTAAGCTTTAACCTTTTGAGCGCCACGCCAAAAACGCATTACCGTGTCCTGTACGCCAAAGCGCCAAAACAAAATAGTGTTGCCAAGAGTTGATATATCGATAACGTGAAATAACTTGTTTTTGTTGGTTTTTTATGCTATAAATGACTCTTAATAAACTGTATGTTTTATTTAATCTTGTGCCGTCTTCCACTCTTTTTATATATGTACTTTGTACATATAAACATAAATAAAAAACAAACAATAACAATAAAATAGTAGTAAACATTAGCACTACTCTCCATCCTAATGACGACACTGTCGCGACTGGACGACAACGGCGTAGCTGACCTTCCCTTTTGAAACATTCTTAGAATGTTGTGTATCGATTTCAAAATCGATCTAACCGAAATATACAGACATCGATTCATAATATTTTATGTGTCGGGGAAGGCGTAGGCCAAGTGACGCACAGAAGAAAAGTCTTACACTCTTATGACAATGGGGATTTGATATGATGCTGATGCTGCTAGATGATTTTGAGACTGAGAAAGAAAATGGCACAACACAAAATGAAAAATTGCTCTTCACACCCTAAGTAAAAAAAACATTAATTGTAATTTTGTATTATTATTAAAAAAGGTACATAATTATTCATTAATCAACAATTGTATATAATTATTCGCACTAGGTAAATCAGCCTTATAATACTAAAATCTTGGTCATGGAATAAATAAACATATTTGTTCACCAATCAATCAAAAATTCAATTCATCAATCAAAAATCAAAATTCATCATCATCGACGCTTTCCAAAATCCGAATGAGTTCTGAGGAATCGTTCATGTTGCATTGCTCTACTTTTCTCGGTAATCACTTATGACGTCATCAGGGTGTCGTCTATCCTTGATCACGGTGCCCAGTGAACTGATTTTCGATGACGCGCTAAAGATGCGCTAGAGTTGAGATATTAGATTTATTATGCGAAGATAATCTGATAACATTTTTTTATTCATGTAGCTAATTATAGTTTTATGTTTATAACCTTTAATTTTATTCAAATATCAATAATAATAGAAAAAAAACACCATTGAGCTGAATTTTGGATAGTTTTCAAGAAATCTATGCCTCCCGCGTTTGACACTAGCGGTCAACCATAGACGACTTTGGCGTGCTGGACATAGTATTTGCTTAGATAAAAATCCATTTTTATTAGTTCAATGTTTCTTAGTACTTGTGGCTCTAGAAGACTTGTTTTTTATACTCACATGTTGCTGGGTTATTCCTATTTTGAGGAGTGTAGAATTAAAATACCTGTAATAATTTTCCAATATCTATATTTCATATTTTTCGGAGCCGGGTTTTTTGTCTACTATAGACGTCGTTGGCGCTCAGGGCCCGCAGGTGTTGGTCAAGTATAGGCGACTTTGCCGCTCAAAAGGGTTAAAGGATTCATGGTAAATCAGCTGGAAACTAACTTGTTTCGTTATCATAACATGATTCTATTTTAAATGTGTTGTTATAAACAGATAAGAATAACTTAACCGATCTTCTTTAAAAACAGATAAGAATAACAGTTCTTATCTGTCTTCAAAGAAGATCGGTTAAGGATTAACAGTTAAATTGTGCCGTAGCATTTGTTACTCTCTAAAGAATTCATTAGAAATCAGCTAGTAATTCGCTTGTTTAATTATCGTAACATCATAATTATTTAAAAATTATATTAGCACTGTAATGATGACACCGTAAATAATCGATCGAATGTGTTTTGTGATTGACAACACTTTTTTTTATTCACAAACTAATGACGTAATGATTTACCTAATTTTTATTATTATGTTTCCGGTACTTTTAATTTGTGCAAAAATATTCCCATTGTTTGAGGATAAATGAATACCGCGATTAATAACCATAAATAAAGATATAATTTTTTAACAAATTCACATTGTTGGGCGTTCCATGGCCGAAAATGGGCGTCCCCCTTTACCTACTTGTGATGTAATTTAGAAAATACTACACTAATTGTTATACCTATATTAATCTAATGGCATGCAACTTTATTTACATTTATTCCTACATGTTTTTTTTGCTAGTAATATACAACTACCTATGAATAATTATGTTCCCGAATCCTACACGCGAATAGTCTATTACCATTCATGCGGTGCGTGACGTAACATCACGGGACAGAAACGAATACCTACAGTGCACTAAGCCTACACACGATGTTTACGTTTCGACTTGCCTTTTCTCTAAGTAGTCGAAAAACGAACGTGTTCTTGTTTATTAAGTTGAGTAGTTAAGTGATTTGGAAATCATATTAAGTATTAAGTTAAGTTAAATATCTATCTCGCATTAAGTTAAGTGAATTAACGTTTAATCATATTAAGTTAAAAGAAACGGCCTAAATAATGCTACGCACTGCCTGGTAGGCATTTTCTTATAAAATGTCCAGAGTGCGGGCATAAAAAACAAGTTCTGATCTAACTCGCGCCCATGTTCACAACATAAGGTGACCTTCTAGTTATGTATCGCTCATTCATCAATACAGTCACAGCTTATTTATCTCAGAAAGTTCACCGGTGGAAATAAATTTTGAAAATGTTTATTATTCTTACATTCTTCCACTCAATCATACTCTTCACTCACATTCTACAAAACTATTAGTCATCTTGTTTCAGGATGTCTTTTATGTGAAAATTACCTAGTGTCTTACCTTCCATGCTGGCTAAGGTATACACTAAAGGTGATAATTTCGCCGTTATGACACATTTTTGAAATTTTGGTGCTAGTTTAGCCGTAAATCTCTTTGAGGCATTAGATAGGTAATGGGTACGTTTATATACAATCTGACCTACTTTTAACTCAACATGTCGTTGAATAAAACTATTATTTACGGATTTTATTGCGTTTAATTACTTTAATTTATTTTTATTATTATCCCGACGTTTCGGGTGCTTTACAGCGCCCATGGTCACGGGGGGACTGAGATGTTTGACGTCCCAATGTCATAGTTAGTCCGGCTACCTTCAGTTTTTTAATATTAATTTTTGGTCCGATTTACGCAAAACGAGCTTATAGTATCATGAAGTCTTGCAGTGGTATGCTTGGGTTTGGGTTTAATTTTGTTGATTATAGGATCCCAAGCAGATGGTAGCACCCAACCATCTTCTCTATTGAAATTTGGAAGCTCCGGGAAGTCTGCAGTCTGTGAACATGTTCAAGATCGTCCCCACCATTACATTAGATTTGATAAACCACAAATTCTCGCAAAAGAACACCGATTCCTACCAAGGATGATACGCGAGGCTATTGAAATTAAAAAACATCCAAATTTCAATAGAGAAGATGGTTGGGTGCTACCATCTGCTTGGGATCCTATAATCAACAAAATTAAACCCAAACCCAAGCATACCACTGCAAGACTTCATGATACTATAAGCTCGTTTTGCGTAAATCGGACCAAAAATTAATATTAAAAAACTGAAGGTAGCCGGACTAACTATGACATTGGGACGTCAAACATCTCAGTCCCCCCCGTGACCATGGGCGCTGTAAAGCACCCGAAACGTCGGGATAATAATAAAAATAAATTAAAGTAATTAAACGCGAAAAAAATCCGTAAATAATAGTTTTATTCAATGTGTAGTGTTCGCGTAAATTTAAGAAATCAACATGTCGTTTTCTTAAGGAAACTCAGGCACAGCCGTCTAACCAGAAAGTGGAAAGTAACGTGATCTATGTGAAAGATAAACCCTTGAACCTAAATACATTAAAATTAAAATTTGACGGAACCACGTGTGTTCGTGTATTTATTGAACGTCTTGAGGAACTTAAAGAGGCTCGCAACATTACTGAAGCTCGCATACTTTCAGCTTTTTCTGATCTTTTAGAAAACTCCGCTTTATGTTGGTTTAGAAGTAATAAGGATAATATCCACTCATATTCACAAGTATTGAAATGCTTAAGGGACGACTTTGATATTCCCGATTTAGACCATACACTATTAAATGAAATAAGGCAGCGTACACAGGCCAGACACGAAACGATAGTAGTCTATCTTTCCATTATGCAGGGAATGTTCTCGCGACTCACTCACCCGTTGTCGAGTAGACAATAACTCGAAATCTTGATGCATAACATTAGACCGGAGTACATGAAAGATTTAGCTTTACATGATATAACCTCTGTAGACAAACTTAAACTTTATTGTAAACAGTTAGAAATTGCGCGGTCGCGTGCGGAACAATTTAGTGAACCTAACTTGAATAACTTTAAAATTACAGCGGACTTAAATAAACAAACGCCGCGGTCTCACAGTAAACAAGTCTCTGTGCTAAATGAAGCTGGCTCTTCGAGGCAATTGGATAGGAAATGCTTTAGGTGTGGATTAAACATTCATTTCACTAATCAATGCAATTCGAAAGAGTTAGTGTGTTTTAAGTGTGGATTAAAAGGTGTTAAGCGTACAGATTGTAGTAATTGCAATTCAAAAAACTAGTTAACACGGAACTATCCAACACCTTTAATAAAAATAGGTCTTATACGTCCAATAATGAAGAGGTAGTTCTGTTTAAAAAAATACTAGTGATATAAGACCATACTTAAAATTAAAAATATTGAGCTTACAAGCTTTTGGCTTATTGGATTCGGGTGCAACTTGTAGCATTCTTGGAAATAATGCGCATTTGATCTTTTTAGAACACGGATTTCAACTCAACCGGTTTGACACTGAGCATTACGTAAGAACTGCTGATGGTACGAGATTGCATTGCTTAGGGTATGTGTCCTTACCTATTGAATTTAACAATAATTTCAGAGTGATTAACTTTTATGTTGTTGCACAAATAACTTCACCTATAATTCTAGGTGTTGATTTTTGGCAGGTGTTTGACTTAGGGAGTGACCTTGTATCCGAAGTACAGTTTGACCGAAAGTCGGAGTCACCAATAAGTAATAGCATAAATTCGGTTTCTCTTAATAAAGGCCTTGAAGAATACGAGTCTTTATCCATAGAACAAAAACAAATCATGGATAATTTAATCCAACAGTTTGATACAATTAACATAGTTAAAGTAGGTTTAGGACGTACCAATTTAATTCATCACGTCATAGACACAGGGGATAGTAAACCTATTAAGCAAAGGTACTATCCATTATCACCTGTTAAGCAACAAGCACTTGAAAAAAAATTGGATAGAATGCTTAGTTTGGGAGTTGTGTCACCTTCACAGTCAGCTTGGAACTCACCTGTAGTAATGGTTCAGAAGCCAAATGGAGACCTAAGGCTTTGTCTAGATTGTAGAAAATTAAATGCAGTTTCCAAACCCGATGCGTATCCTCTCCCGTATATAAGCAGCATATTGGATCAGCTCCGCGACGCGAAATACCTAACGTCAATAGATCTTTCCGCTGCGTATTGGCAAATACCCTATGATAGCGAGCAATCAGCTGATAAGACCGCGTTTCAATTCAGTTCAATGTAATGTCGTTTGGCCTTGTTTCTGCGTCAAGCACAATGCAGAGACTAATGGATAGGCTATTTGGTCCCGAATTTAACAACAAAGTATTCTGTTTCCAAGATGACATAATCATAATATCCAGCACTTTCTCAGAACATGTGCAGCTCTTGCATAAAGTCTACGCAAAACTCAGGGACGCAAACTTGACTATAAACATGGATAAGTCTATCTTTTGCCGTAGAGAACTTAAGTACTTGGGATATTTAGTTGTCAAACACGGACTTAGAACTGCTCCGGGAAAGGTAGATATTATATTGAATTATCCAACTCCAACTTCCGCTAAAGAGGTTAAAAGGTTTCTAGGCATGGCAGGCTGGTACAAAGGGTTCATTAACAATTTTTCGAAAATTAGTAAACCGTTGAATAAATTTACTAGCAAAAATGTCCGCTTTGAATGGACTACGGAAGCAGATGAGTCATTTAACCACTTAAAAACCGCTTTAGTGTCTGCTCCGATACTTAAATGTCCAAATTTTGATTTGCCTTTTTCTATCCATTGTGACGCTTCCTCAGAGGCTGTGGGTGGAGTCTTAACCCAGACTTATGACGGGGTAGAACATCCCATAGCATACTGCAGTCGGTCTCTTGCCAAAAATGAAATTAATTTTTCCATATCGGAGAGAGAACTTATGGCCGTGATTTACGCATTAGAGCAATTTAGATCTTATGTAGAAGGTGCAAAGTGTAAAATAATAACCGACCACGCCTCGTTATTATGGTTTTATAAATTAAATAACCCATCAGGTCGCTTAGCCAGGTGGAGCATGCGATTGAGTCAATTTGATTTCGAAATAGAACACAGAAAAGGTAAATTAAATGTTATTCCAGACGCACTAAGTATGATTAAAGTTGATGCAATCGCTACGCCGGCAACCAGTGATGCGTGGTATAGACATGTATACGAAGATTGTCAGGCCAACCCTCGCAAATATCCCCACTTCATGGTAAAAGACGATAGATTGCTTAGGTACTCTAAAAATAAATATGAGTTAACGAATGAGTTTAATTGGAAGTTAGTGGTACCCGAGGAAGACAGGTTAGGTATTTTAAAGAAATGTCATGATCAACCAGTTAGTGCTCATTTGGGTGTCTTTAAAACCCACAAGCGTCTTAGTCTTAATTATTACTGGCCCAGCATGTACCGAGATGTGAAAGAATATGTTAAAAAATGCGAGATATGTAAACAGTACAAACCCGTCAAGACGGCTAGACCTGGTTTAATGGGAAACCCGTAGGAGGTTAACAAACCCTGGGAGGCCATATGTTGCGATGTTGTATGTACAGACTATTTTAGCAAGTATGTCATGTTGCATCCTATACGGACCGCAACATGCGCTGCGGTCGCTAAGTTCATAGAAGAGAAAGTGTTCCTAGTACATGGCGTATGTAAGATTATCTATATTGACAATGGCCCACAGTATGTGTCTAATCAGTTTAGGCAACTGTTACATAAATATAACGTACCGAATATCTATTATAACCCGCGTTATCACCCACAGGTAAATCAAGCCGAAAGAGCGATTAGGAACGTAGTTAACGGTATATCATGTTATGTAGGTACCGAGCATAAACGATGGAGTAAATTCACTATCCGTGTCGCTATCTTCACCATCTATGACACTCAAAATGCGAATCAAACGACTACGAAGATCTGACAAATGCGAACTACTTTCAGAGATACGAGCCAGCCTATTCATTAAATAATTTGCACGACGAGACAGTTTAAGAGTCAAATTGCGATCATCTACCTTACCCGCCTGCTGCTGGGATTCCAGAAGTTCGACCTTTGGGGTGCAGATCTCTAGTTCAGAGGCTATACTGGGTGACTGGAGTGGTTCACACTTCATGCTTCCACGGCGTGCGAGTTTGTACACCTGGCGGATCTGCTTCCTCACTGCATCGGTGGTTACATTTTCATCTGTGGAAACACCAATAATGGCGAGTTCATATCTGATTTCATCTTTATGTAATGAGTCTATATACTTGTGGATCGACATTTTGTTAAAATGTACTGACGGTTGCAAAAAAGTCTTAAATCGGTTGATATTAAAAATATCTACTTAAAATAGCACAAATATTTTTATTATGTTAAGTTTTAATTCATTTAAGTACATATAAATCACATTCAAGTTAAACTTTCTTTGTTCTCAAGCTTACTTAAATCTACCTACATCAAAAAAATGTTAACATTAAATTTCACTAAGTTTTCATATTAAATGGGTTTTAACAGCTTAAATAGTTATAATTAAGGTTAATTCATCTACTAACATCCAGTAACTTAATGTTCAACGTTGGGTAGCCACTTTATAACACTTTTTAGGGCGTTACTCACCGGCTACGGTCATCGGAGAGTTAAGAGACTCGAGTATCAAAATAAAAGTATCCCAGGGCGCCTGTGGTTGGATGATTAGTAAATGAAAATTCAAAGATACATATACAGACAAAAGGTAGTTTATTTCCTTCTAAAGTTCGTACGGATAGCTCCAAATATCAAGTTGTCACTTTAAAATACCCTGGGAACTGAGGTTTTGACTAACCTGGTGGATTACACAATATTACACTGTTTATGGTCAATCCCGCGAAGCAGTGAGGTAGTAGTAGAGTAGGCCTCCCTTGGGCTACGCGCCACCGTCGATCCGTGATAGGATTTCGAACTAACACGAAAGGTCAATTGCATGCAATTAGCTAGCTCGATTCGTCAATATACGTTTCTAGTTACTTCGGACTAATGACGTTAGATGGCGCACTGATGTCCGTTCATCGAATGTAATAACATAAATATGCTATAATAAAGTACAAGAAAATTTTCGTGTTACAAGCGAGTTGAACAAAGCTACCTGTTCATCAACAGTAGACTCATTGATGACTACACTGCAATCAATCTTTACAGCGTCATTTAAAAGGTGCTCCAAATCCAAGTCACTAAAGTTACGCTGAAGTAGTATCCTTGACTTAGCTTTAGGAGGACGGATTTTGTAAGACATGTATAATAGTTCGTGATAGGAAAAAGAATCAGCAGCATAATGCCCAAAGGAGACAATAAATTTTTTTATGGAGAATGGGCCCACAACAAATTTTAAAGATTATCTATGAAATGCATGTCGATTTATTCCTTATAATCCACAGATTACAATAATATTATTAGTTTTACTGCATCTAAACGGAGTCCTGAGAAATTAACAAATAAATTGTGAATCTAACAATAACCTAAAAATAAACTGAAAGTTATTTTCTTGTAGTATTCATTGGTATTATAAGTTAAAATGGTGCACAAATAATAGTACATATAAAACTAAGCTGTTACCAACATAATTCGAGAAATTTATTGATATATTATGTAATAAATAAATTATAAAAAATAATAATTGCCTGGTGTATGTGGACTATGAGAAAGCCTTTGATTCCGTCGAAATTTGGGCGGTGCTACAGTCCCTTCAGCGGTGCCAAGTTGACTGTCGGTATATCGAAGTGCTGAAGTGTTTGTACAGTAGGGCTACGATGGCTATCCGAGTACAGAACCAGAGCTCGAAACCTATCCAACTGCAGAGAGGTGTAAGACAGGGTGACGTTATATCCCCGAAACTCTTCACCGCTGCATTGGAAGACGTTTTCAAGCTACTGGACTGGAAAGGATACGGTATTAACATCAAGGCGGGTACATCACTCACCTTCGAATGCCGACGATATAGAACTTATAGCAGAATCGCTGGAGGACATAAGCACTATGCTCAATGACCTCAATAGTGCCTCCCAACGGATAGGTCTTAAGATGGAACATGGACAAAACAAAGATCATGTTTAATGTCCATGTCACACCTATGCCGGTAGTTGTTGGGAGCACTATGCTCGAAGTTGTTGACGAGTACGTTTACCTGGGGCAAATAGTCCGACTAGGTAAGTCCAACTTCGACCGAGAGGTCAATCGACGGATTCAACTCGGCTGGGCTGCGTTCGGGAAAATACGATATATCTTCTCGTCAGGTATACCTCAATCTATAAAAACTAGATTGTACAACCAGTGCGTGTTGCCAGTGATGACTTACGGATCTGAGACGTGGTCCTTCACTGCTGACCATATGAGGACGCTCAAGGTCGCTCAGCGAGCTATGGAGAGGGCTCGGAGTTTCTCTGTGTGATAGACTCAGAAATGAGGATATCCGCAGTAAAACCAGAGTGACCGACATAGCCCAACAGATTATTAAGCTGAAGTGGCAATGGGCCGGCCATATAGCTCGAAGAACCGATAACCGATGGGGAAGAAAGGTTCTCGAGTGGCAGCCTCGTACCGGTAGGCGTAGTGTAGGGCAACCCCCCACTAGATGGAGTGACGACCTGGTAAGATATGCAGGAAGTCGATGGATGCAGGTGGCTATGGACCGTGCTTTGTGGCATTACTTGGGGGAGGCCTATGTTCAGCAGTGGACTTGTGAAGGGCTGTAATGATGATGATGATGAAATAAATTGATAATACATAATTTGGAGTCAAATTATTAATAACATTAAGACTTACGTCATAACGTTAGAATGATATTATTTTATGAAGATTGTCGATACGCATACCAAAAATAACATATAACTACCTATTAAGTGTAATAATAATAATAATTGTGTTGTATGGAAGAACAATTATATAAATAATTTGTGACAAACTGACACAGCTTTGTTCAGCTAATTTGAATTACGTAACTCGAGCTCAAAATCGAGTTACCTGAATTTCAACTCGAGTCGATTTTTTTCTGAGTTATCACGGCACATCTCTAAGACAATAATTTTTTTAAATATTACATTACCTTAGCCAATTATCAGAACACGAATATCAAAACAACTACTTTTTTTTCAGATTTCTTGATTCCGTTTACATATTCGGAAAATCCTTAGGCCATTTACTATTATAATTTGGTGTCTTTTTTGTGGTGTAAATACCATTAAATGACGTGAATATTTCTAGTGGGTCCGAAAA